TATTCTTATTTTGGTCCATGGAATATGTTTAAAAACTTAATTTCCATCACATCTTCCAAAAAAAAACATCCAGAGAAGTGCTTACTTGTGTCATGGTGAGTTTTTATAGAATCTACAGCCTCCTAGAAGGTCTGAATTGTTTAGTAGTTTGTGAGTTGTAAAAAAAAAAACTAATAAGGTAATGAGTTACGATTTTTAATCATATTACCAATTATTCATACAGAGTGTAGTTTGCACGGGATTTGATTGCACTGATTCCTGTATTAGCCAGTAATCCAGTAATTACTTATTAGTTCACCATTTTGTAATTTACTTAAACTGCATAGATTTTTTTTAATTATTATTTAAAAAGTTAATGTATAACATGGATTCATAAAAACCAAAGTTTATTTCAGAGTTAAATTCTGTTTAAAGTTACAGATTATAATTAAAAATGTCTCCGGACCTTTACTGGTTGATGATCTTCTTTATTCAAACCCCACTGATTTTTAATTGGATACCCCTGCTTTAGTATTTTAGTGGGGCCCATTCTTCTTTACTTCAAGTCTGTAAAAATCTCCAGAATATAGAAAATAATGGATATTGTGTGAAATTTGTTCCACATAACTACAGATCACTAATTGTTATTCAGTTACATTCACTGTGGTATAAGAATTACACATTTTGCCACTTAGTTTCCGTTAAATCCTCTGAAAATCTCCAACCTTTAGCTGCACCTCAGAGCCTCAATCTAACCCTGACAGTTTCCTGTCCAAACTCTTTCTAAATCTCACTCCAAGGTTTGGTGAAAAGTCGGCATCCCTGTGATTTTCACCAATAATGGTGATCAGAAGCCTTGAAAACACCATGATCACTGAAGAAGCCTTGAACCCTGCCAGCAGGGGGTGCTGTTACACCACCAAATAACAGGTAGCCTCATAACGGATCCCTGCCAACATCTCGGCATAAAGCAGCTAACCAGCTCTTAATGCATTGATGCCAGGCCTTCAAACCTGCACTTCTTATCCCCACGATGCTGTACGAAACACCACCTCCCTCTCCCCCTAACCGATCAGTCCGGGTGGCATGAAATCGAACCCTCTCAGTTCTTCAGCTGGGTTTCATACAGCAAGCTTCATGCTAGGCTAGCTACAGATGCTAATGCAGGATACAGGCTCGTTCTCCTACCTCAGAAATGAACCACTGAGCTATTCGTTTCTCTTACCTGTATTTGACCAATTCAGAGCGAGCGGGTCACGGAAGAAGTTAACGATTGGTTTAAGAATTGGAGCTAAAACTGAACTTCGCCGCTTCAACACTTACGCAGCCATCTTGTTTATGCTAGCAGCCCTGGACTGAACCAAACTGTAAACCTCCGGGGGGGGGACCTGGACCTGCTCCCCAGAAACACACTTTAATATATAAAATAAAACCATTTAAATTGAAAGGGGTTACTTTAACTATTTGCAGAAATCACAAATTGCTGTTTCATTTCAGAGTTTCAGTCTGTTTAAACTGTAATTAAAAATGTGGATAGTACAAATTATTAAAAAACTATTGTAGCACAAATAATCCAAAAGATTGACATCTCTCAGAGATCAATAGTCAACAATGAGAATATTAACCTATAAGGTACTTTAAATCAAAGCAGAGCGTTTCTATCACCTTATATCAGAGGTGTTACTGAGCTATCTCTATACACTGTGTGCACAATTATTAGGCAAGTTGTATTTTTGAGGATTATTTTCATTATTGGGCCTCAATTGTGTCCTCAATCAACCCGAAAGACTCCTTAATATCAAAGTTCCATATTTTTGAAAGTTTTGTTGTTTTTTTTGTTTGTTTTTTTTAGATTTTGACATTTTATGAGGAAGTCTGTGTGTGCAGGTAAATATTACTGTACTGTAATAACAAACAAATGTATACCTATCTATCTTACTTGTTTATTTTCACCAGGTAAACCAATATAACTCAAAATTCAGAAATAAACATTTGGGACAGTCAAAAACAAATCAGTGACCAATATAGCCACCTTTCTTCCCCATGACGCCCAAAGGCCTTCCATCCATAGATTCTGTCAGTGTTCTAATCTGTTTGCGATCCACATTGCAGCAGCCACCACAGCCTCCCAGACACTATTCAGAGAGGTGGACTGTTTTCCCTCCCTGTAGATCTCACATTTCATGAAGGACCAAAGGTTCTCCATGGGGTTCAGATCAGGTGAACAAGGGAGCCATGTCATTATTTTTTCTCCTTTTAGACTTTTTCTGGCCAGCCACGCTGTGGTGTATTTTGATGCGTGTGACGGAGCATTGTCCTGCATGAATATCGTGTTTTTCTTGAATGATGGCGACTTCTTCTTGTACCACTGTTTGAAGAAGGTGTCTTCCAGAAACTGGCAGTAGGTCTGGGAGTTGATCTAGACTTGGAAAGGTCCCACAAGCTCATCTTTGATACCAGCCCTTACCAGTACCCCACCTCCACCTTGCTGGCGTCTGAGTCGATAAGGAAATTGCTGCCCTTTACTGATCCAGCCTGGTGCCCATCCATCCATCAGGCCCATAAAGACTCTCTCTCATTTCATCAGACCAAAACACCTTGGAGAAATCAGTCTTCATGTCTTGGCCCAATCATGACTTTTTGTCTTGTGTGTTTTGTTCAAAGGTGGCCTTTTTTCAGCTTTCCTTACCTTGGCCAGGTCCCTGAGTATTGAGCACCTTGTGCTTCTCGGCACTCCAGACATGTTGCAGCTCTGAAATATGGCACAACTAGTGGCTAATGGGCTCCTAGCAGCTTCACGCTGGATCCCTCTCAATTCATGGGGAGTTATTTTGCGCCTTCTTTCCAACACGCTTCTTGGGCCCCTGTTGGCTATTTGCCATGAACCGCTTGATTGTGCGATGATCCCGCTTCAAAAGCTTGACAATTTCCAAACTGCTGTACCCCTCTGAAAGACATCTGACAATTTATTAATTTTCAGTCTGTCAAATCTCTTTTCTGACCGATTTTGCCAAAGGACAACATCAACATCAACACCCTAATAACATCAACACCCTTATATAGGGTGTTGATGTCATTAGGCCATACCCCTTCTCATTACAGAGATGCACACCACCTGATTTACTTCATTGGTAGTTGGCCTTCAAGCCTATACAGCTTGGAGTAGGACATGTATGAAAAGGATGATGGGGTAAAAATACTCATTTGTCTAATAATTCTGCACACAGTGTAGTTATGCTGCTATAGGCTTAGATTTCTGGAGGACATAGAGACCCCTATTTCATCATTTTGCTTCATTCTATCTTTATTCTCCCACTCTGCAGAATCTATTAGTTCAATCTCTAACATTCTGCTCTTTCTGCTTTTTCTCATAGTAGCTTCATCTGGTCTGTTCCTGTTTGGCTGTGACTCCATCCTGGAGAGAAATATCAGCTGAGCTGCTGCCATCAACACCTTTGTTTATAGATGTTGGACATCAAGCTGTTTTTCAGTGTAGTCCTGTTTCTCTGACTGTGACTGGATGTGCTCTCTTCATCCTCTGACATCAGAGCTGGTTCAGAGTTCATCTTCCCGGCTGTGTGTTTCCTGGACAGGGTCGCCTCTGGAGCTGGTTTACAGTTGCCATTTGTATCTCTTCTTCTTTTTCTATGTCTGCTTCTGTCTCCTTCAACCCCAGTTGTTTCGTCAATGCTTTTGACTCAATGAGTTGATGGAATCAACTGGTTTTCCTTAGACAGGATGCTTTGAATAAATCTGACTGGATGATCTGGTTGAACTGTACTGCCTTGAGATCACATGTGTTGTGAATTGGTGCTATATAAATAAACTGAATTGAATTGAATGGATCCAGGTTGATGGACTCCATCATTCATTTTTTGGCTGATGCCCATGTAGGATCATCCATCCATCAATTTTATTACAGGCTTAATCCCAAGTGGGGTTGCGAGGGGTGCTGGTGCCTATCTCCAGCTGTGTACGGGCGAGAGGCGGAGTACACCGTGGACAGGTCGCCAGTCCATCGCAGGATGTCGGATCATGACATCACTAATTTAAGAAGGAAAGTGTAGCCACTGCAACACAGTTGGTTATAAGCACAGACTTTGATTAGGCCCCTCCACGTTCAAATGATTCAAGTATTCAGAGCTTTCTGGTGTCCTTCTGAATATTGCTCGTCTTTGCAAAACCAAATTTCACTTAGTCTAAGGTTCCCAAACTCATGACCTACCGTTCTCCAGGATTTCCATGATGTTCACCACTTTACATTGGAAAAAATCAAAATCTAGATAAGTAATTTTTTCTTAAAATAATTTAATTTTTCTAAAGGAGGTAAAAGAGACATTTTGCCAATTGAAAAAGACAATTTACACTTAAACTAATAAAATACAAATGCATTGTCTTATTTCAAGTGCTTATTATCTAATTATATTATTTTAATAATAAAAATATGCATGCCATTGACAAACTATCTCATTTACCTTCTCAAAAGAAGAATACACAATGTATGAAGTAAAGCAGACTAGACTGGTGGACAACCACAGCTGCCATGTTTGGTTTTTGTTCCTTAACGTTGTGTATGCATTTCCTCAGGATGCTATATTGTAAATGTGAGTCAGGCCTTGTGTTGTTCTTTTTGGTCAGCACTTTCTGATGCATGGATTTTCTGCATTGCATCTCTCTTATTGAATCGAGAACCTTGAGTTGTTCCAGAAAAAGATCTGCAGCAACTGTGGTTTAGAGATGGTTCAGCAATTAGTTTTTTGTTTTTTTACTGTTTTAAAACTTTGTCTTTTAATACTTTGTAATAATAAGATCATAAAAATGCTGAAATCTCAACAGTTTCATCGTACATCAAGCTTTTTAAGTTGCATTCTTTTACAAACCAGTCTACAGATTTCATCCTCTGATTTTCTGGCTGGTCTGTAGAAATGCTGCCAATCTCTTCATGGAACAGCCTCGTCTCTTTTAGTCGATGCAGCGACCAAGTACCCCCCCCAGCAGAAAAAACACTGTGGTAAGTTTAGTGTTTTCAATCATCTTTATTAGGTAAACTCTAAACTTTTAGTATTGCTTCTTACTCTTCCACTTTTTTTTTTTTTTTTTTACTCTAAATTAGAATCTTTAACAATATGTTTATATAGAACCAATGGATTAAGCTAAAGTTCTGAGGAATACAAAAATATTACAGAACAATTTCTACACTCAACGTCACTTGTGAGGCTTAGAACCGGTTCAGAAAAACATAAACGACAGCTGTCTGGACAGAGGATGCTAAAGTAACAGCACCATGGAGCGAACCTGACTGAGGAGACACTCAGGTTGGAACACACGTGTGTCTGGACTCAGGCGTGGCAACGTGCCACAGCTGGATCCGAGTGTCCTTTCCACAGGCTCGGCCTGCGATGAGCTGCCCTGTCCGTCTGAGGGACGCTGTCCAAACACCAGTCCCGGGCTGCGGTCGCTGTTGCGCAGCTCATACCTCAATATTCGCTGAGACAAAGGTTCAAGTGAAGACTAACACATAATGGGGCCCCACATCTTTCAGTTTAGAACTTGCATCCAGCATCAGTCCGCCACTGGTTCTGGTCCGTCATCTGGCGCCTCCTCCTCCTGGTCCTGCATGTTTCCACAGTTCCTTCTTATTTGGAAGCTGATCGAATGTAAAAAGGTGAGCTACAGGGTGACAGCTCTTATCCAGCACCCCGCTGTGGTCAGATACCAAATGATTTAACTCCAGTTTTTCCACTAGTGGTCGCTGCGCAGCGCTCTCTGTGACCACCTGGAGATCAACCCTTCATGAGACGCCAGGAGGAACTCAGCAGTTTCCAGGATGCTTCCTCATAAAGATTGTCTGTCAGAAAGCCTCCTGATTTGGTCTGGAGCAAAAAAGAAACGGTGGATCACACATGCCAAGCACTCTAAACATTCTACCCATGTTTGCATTCTTAGTACAAAGTATTAAAAAGATTATACAAAACACAAACACATTCCCATAGAAACTGCTTCATATGCCGCTTTCCCACTGGCCGAAAAACTCGGGAACAGTTGACTTTTAGTGGCAGTGGGAACAGCTCACTGACACCCGTCTATCCGGGTCAGTTAGCAAAACTGTGTTTTCAGTTGGAAAGCGGCCTTATTGTGCCACGCTGCCCTAGACGCCAGACCGACCTTCCCTGCTCTGAAGAGCTGCAGCATGACAAAGAACCTTCTTGAGTCGTTTGACCTGGGTAGACGTGTCAGTGAGCTGTTCCCACTGCCACTAAAAGCTGATTGTTCCCAGGTTTTAAATGGATTTTTCAACCAGTGGGAAATACGGATAAGAGGAAAAAAAACAAAACACTTGAAACACAAAAGGTGGGCAAGATCAATAGATCTAGAAGAGAGGAGTTCACTGTGGCTCAGAGTTAAACTGTGGTCAATCGAGTGTGTTGAATGTTCCCTCCGCTGAGATCTTACTGAACAAACTGGGAATCTGAGGATTAGGGACACGGGGTGGGTTACACAGACTTTTAGCAGAATCCGTAGAGCAGGGCCCCTGACAGATGTATGGAGGTGCCTGGCTCGGTGAGGTGGCAGTAGTAAAGCTGGGGGCTGAGTGCTATCCGCGCGTTAGCCGTCTTTACGGGGAGAACGTTGCCATCTCCAGAGAAATGCGCTGCCACAGCTCCTTAGTCTGCTTGCCTCGTTTCAGATTCTGCAGAACGTCGTTGAACTGCATCATTCCTACTGGCGTGAGGCAGAAAGCCCCCCGGGCGCTGCGGATGATGTTGACGAAGTCGTCGTAGTCAGCGGGGGTCAGATGGATGAGCCGGTGATGGATATACTGGGGAGGTAGAGAACATCAATTCAGACAATGATTCAACATCAGGGTTTCAGTCTGATTGGTTGGAGAAGATGTCGTTAAATATTACAGCTTGATATTGTGCTTCAAGCCACTAGGGGAGATGATTATCAACTGATCTGGTGAAACCAGGAATTATTGATCATATCGATAAACAGAACACTTGCCCAGAGGACCTTTGACTGGGAGCAAGAAGTTATTGAACTTCTGAACCATCTGCGCATACCATTTATATTTTTATTAGGGTCTTGTTGCATATGAGTTGGGGATCATCTCCCCCCCCCCCCCCAGTGGTCTGGAGAACTTCTGTCTGGCAGAGCTAGTTTACGAATAATCTCAACCTGCAGACATTTATTTCTAAACGTAGCAATGTTATTTTGCGTTTGTCTCCGGGTTGTCTTTGCAGTATTTTTTCGCAGCGCATTTTAGTATTTGCAGCACATTTGTAGCTCTCAGCTAATGCTAAGCAGGCTACAGTATTCTGGATGCAACGATGAACGGCGGTGTGCCGCACCTGTAGGTAGGCCTGTTGGCAGCGCTGCACCAGCTGGTGGAAAGCGGGTGTTCGGAGGTGGGCGTGGATGTGAGCAGGATTCAGCCTCTGCAGAGCCTCCATGATGATCTCCTGCAGGACGAATGGACTCAGTACTCCTTTGGCTGCTCCAACACAGAACTGGTACACATAGTTGACTCCTGAAAGATTAAAAGGGAAGCAGTTTAGTTAAAGGGTTCATGTTTATATCTAACTTTAGACTACTTCATGAGAATGAGATCAGTAAACTGATCCCAAGAAACATTTGATGTACTGCTTTTTTCTCTGGTCTATCATTTCAAACTCTACCAGTCAGGTTTTCAACTCAAGACAATAATTCCCAAAAGACCTGAGATGAGGCCTTTGATTAGACCATTCCAGGACGTTAACCATTTTCTGTCTGTTCAGGGGGGTGTTTTGGTGGAAAACAAATTTTCAGCCAAAGCTATTTCTCTAAGACAATAAATCAGTTTCTCCTGCAGGAATCAGCTTCACAAGCAGCTTGCTGAGGAACATCCCAGCAGCATTACGCTGATAAACACTTCATGCTATAGGTAGCCTGCCTCTGCCAAAACTGATCTAAAAATGAATTAAAAACGACCGAAATAGGTTTTTTTGGGCTAGTCATCCATCTATGGAATCACTGTTCTAGTCCAGTGAATAAGATCATTTTACAAACTGCAGTTGAAATTAGATTTTGGACGTTATTTCTACTTCCTCAGCAGATGAGTTACTGATTAAGTCAAATTCAATGCAAATGCACTTATAAACACACAAACATTTCAAACTAATTACTAAAAATAACTTTGGGTGGAGGTTTGTTTTCCTTAGTTTTAGCTCCCTTTTTGTATGTCCAGTTATTAGCGTCGGACGCTCACCTAGCCTTGCAGCCAGTCCCAGCAGCCACTTGACATCCTCTGTGTAAGGAGGACTTCTGGAGAAGTTGTTGGGATGGTCATTATGAGCTCTCCTGCCCAGCATCTCCAGCGCCAGCATACCTTCAGCAGAGAACAACAGTTCGTTTCAGTGCGGCGTTTTATTGACGTGCGAGTGAAGTTCGCCCGTGTGAGATGTCTCACCAACTCTGTAGGCCGAATGAAGGTAGTGCAGGCCCTGCTGGCTGATTGGCTGGCTGTGCTGCTCCTCTTCTGCTGTGAAGGGGGCGCTCACCAACGGAGCGGGCTGGGAGGACACTGCAGGTAGAGAGGCCCCCTGTATGGCCTGAATGGTGGGGCCAGAGTGGACGCTGCCCACTGCAGAAACACAACACAATCAACTCAAGACAAAGAAAACAGACACAAGGGTTTAGGGCGCGGGGCAGTCCTGACCTGCCACAGTGGTTCCCAGGGGCATGCCCGTCTCGGTGTGGTAGGGGTGGACGGCAATCTGAGTCATGGACGGTACCGGAACAGCTGGGAAGGTGACAGCCGCAGCAGACAGCGTGGGTTGGGGGCCAGGGGCCATGGAGAAAGGGTACTGGGCACCAATAAAAGCTGGATGCATCCCCTAGGAAGACATGTGTTAACACAGCAGAGGTCAGAGGTTAGTCCTACAACGAGGCGTCCAAGGCTTTGTTTCCATTAGCTGCTTTACTGGGATACAAAGTGGTGAGAAGAGACAAAGGAATCAGGGTTTAGAAGTCAGTAAATTTGTTGGTTTAGACCCGCAATCAGACCAGGAATGCCCAAGGTGAGGCCATTAGCAGCCCAAAGAGTGATTCTGAGAGGCCCCTACACATTTAACAACATTTTTCTACTATTTTTAGACTTATATTAACATTGATATGAGTATCGGCCAAAGTTCGTAATTTTTCAAGCCTATCAGTCTGGGTGGTGTTAACGACCAATAGTTGGTGTTTTTGTGTCAGACGGTGGAGGAGAGAGGATCGGTCATGTGGCGTTTGTTTGGACATGTGAGAGTGGCTGTGATGCAGAAAAAAGATTGTGGGTGTTTAACTGACGCAGAGCAGGAATGTCATCGCTTTGGTTGAATTTTCATGGTTCCAAAGCATAGGGCAACATATGATGCATAATAGTAAATATCAGTTAATTGCTTTTTTCTTCCAAGCTATAGTTTTCCAAATGTTATTTTTTCAATTTTTTCCGTTCGTTTTTTGTCTAAATACATTATTTTTCTTTAAATAATTGCATTTTTCTTGAATTGAGAAGGTAAATGAGACAATTTGCCATGGGACAAGACAATTAACATTTTAAATAAGAAAAACTGCATTGTCTTATTACGAGTGCATATTATAAAATGCTCATTCCATTGGCAGATCATCTTATTTATCTGTGCAGTGTAAGTTTTATTTTTTGTTGAGATTGATTCTAATAAATTCAGTTTATTTCTGTGGCTCCAGTCTTCAGCTCGTGTCATCTCAAGACACTTTCCAGATCCAGTTCAGTCAGATTAAATGTTTGATTTTCCATCTAAGTGAAATCTTCTGATTGCATGACTTTACAGGATTTTCTCCTCCTGGATGAGCAGTTAGACTGCAGAAACTCACTTGCATGTTGTTTTTAACTCTTTAGCAGAACCAGGCTCAGTGTGAGGGGCCATCTACGGAGGGGGACGTAGATAATTCCTTTGCTAGAAAAGTTAACGGTAACCTAGCTCCACAGGTAGGTCTGAACTGGGAAGTCAGTAGTTAAGCAGATGAGCTCTGAAATGTGTTTTCTGTTTCCTTCCATACAAATTAACTAGCTACTACAATTTAAAATAATCTAAACATCAGTTGTTGTTTTTTTTGTTTATTGTTAAGCAGCAGTCCCCTTATAAGTTCTTCAGACTTGATATCATCTGCCCCCCCACCACAAAGTTTGGACCTCACTGCCTGACATCAGAACATTCTGAAGCTAATTGCTATGTTTCTGGCTAAATGACTGCAAATGATGAGGTGAAGTGTTGGACGACTGTAGTTTGCAACCAAAGTGGGATTTGTATTAACAGCATGGTACGGTGGTGGAGATGACCTCTGACCTGAGGATACGAAGCCCCAGTCACGGGGAAGACGGCGGGCCGAGGAACGTGCTGCAGAGGGTGTCCTAGGTACTGGGGGGTGCAGACGGAGGGGAGGTGGGCCTGGATGGTTGTGTACGGGTGGAGCCCTTGGCTGTGGGGGTGGGACATGGCCTGGCCGGGGATGGCGTGGGACTGGTAAATGGTGGAGCCCACGGAGATGACGGGCACTATGGCTGCCGCCGTGACGGCCGCCGTCACCGCTCCCACCCCCGAGGACTCCATGTTGGCTCCGCCGTCCAGCACTACGCAAGCGGTATCTGGGGCCCTCCGACCAGAGCTCCCGTTGGCCCCGCAGCGGCTGGGGGGCTCCCGCTGCTGGGTGGTGCCCCCGCCCACGGATTGCTCATAAAGCCAGTACCACTGATGGGCCACCTCGAACAGAACCTCAGGGTACACGCCTCCACCCTTGGCTGCCTCTTCCACTGCCATGCAGGCCTTCTCCAGCATCACGTTGTCCTGGAAACAGATGAGGACAGATGTCAGCCCAACCCTGAGAAGCTTCAGTCAGTCAATTTATTTCTAGAGCTGCAATCTTCATGTCATCACAGGACACGTTATAGATCCGGATCAATCAGATCATGCAGTCAGATTAAAGATCCAAGATGTTTTATCAAGAGAACCATCCAGTCACTAACTACGTTTCCATGGATACAAATAATGGCTTTAAAGGTGGCTCTAAATATAATATGGGGATGAATCCCCTCCACCCCTGCAGCAAAGGAGTGTTAACATAAGGTCCCGCTGAGACCTTAATTAAAATGACCAATAACAAAAGGATGACGCAACAAAGGTCCAGACTGGAAAAAGATCAACAGACGCGAATGAAGAACCGCAGACAGGGTTTGTTTAGTAAGCAGGCAGCTTCTTATATTTATTTCTCCAGCTTTTTATTGTCAGTACACTGTCCTAAGTACAGAGCAACAAAAATCACTCTCTCCATTTAACCCATCCCCCCTTGGGGAGCAGTGGGCTGCCATGGTGGGGCGCCCGGGGAGCACTGTGGGGTTAAGGGTCTTGCTCAGGGACCCCAGAGTGGAAGTCTGTGGGAGTGGGGCAGGATTCCAAGCTCTATGCCCTAACCACTAGGCCGCCACTCCCCTACTACTACAGCGATTGTGGAAAACTAGACAGATCTGCTCATGCTCAAAGGATTTAATCATTTATACGCACGTCATGATCGGATCATTTCACTTAGTGACCACAGAAATGGGTATTTTCAACTTCCGACCAACAAAGATTTAGATCAGATCGTAGACATTTTGTGCGTGTAAACGTAGCGAGTGACTTTTCAGGATTCTCTACTCATCGATGAGCAGGTAGAGATAGTAGATATTACCTTGACTCTACAGCAATCCCTAAAACTGAGCATGCCTGCAGCGAGAGTAGAGAGGAAAAACTCATTTACACATTTCACTCATTTACAACTAGTTTGAAAATGTCTTGAACATTTTTTACATTCCTGTCATCATGGTGCCATGTCTATCACTTTCTGTGTGACAGACACACAACAGATTAATCAAACACAGAGTCACGGATTTACAGTTGACGTCAGGTTAAAGGTTAATACATAAGCTTGACAGACATATCTGCAGAAGGACCAGACGATATGTTCAGCCAAGATCAGTGTTTCCTTCACATATCGGCTGACACATCGTTGACAGATTCATCCCTGCATTTAGCAACCATGTCGTAACATAACTTTAGGCTGATGGATTTTTAACACAATCTCTACTTTGAGCACAAACAACAGTTTTCTAGAGTCTTTGGCAACAAAAATCAAAAGCTAGAGAGTGAAAGAGTCCCTAGGAATCAGACTGTCCTACAAGTAGAAAGTCTTCGGTCAGAGGCTCGTTCAGAGGCGCTATGAGACAGACCTCTACACGAGACCCCTTTGTCTGGAGCAAAATTTAACCTCCCTTTGCGATGAGTAAAGTATTGAATAACAAAATTCCAGCTGAGTTCTACCGCTTTCTGTCTCCCGAGCAGAACCTAAATCCCCGTTTGGAGCTATTTAAGCTCCATTGGAGCTGCCAACATCCGGTTCAGCTGGTTTACCTGCTCTTTGCACTGAACCAAGGCTCTCTGGATTTCGTTGGGGTTGAGGGCGTGGGCATGAGGCAGGCAGCTGAGGGCCAGCTCTGCAGCCGCCCGGACCATGTTCAGGTCCCTGGCCCGTGACGCCCGGTCTGCCAGGGAGGCCACCTCCGGCGGAGTGAGGTGGCCGTCCCAGCACTCCACCAGAATATTCAGAGCGGCGCTGCCGATCTCCATAGCTTGGCCTGCAGAGAAGTGAGGGAAGAATCAGTGAGCAGAAAGGGAAGGGAGACCAAACCTGAATATCTGGACCAACATCTCTGAAACCCACCAGTGATCCAGGACACATGGGAGGAATAGGTCCTCGACAGCCAGTTGGGTGAGACGAAATTGTGGAGGCCGAGCGCGTACAGCCCGATCTCAAAGGCGCAGAGATGCAGGTTTCTGTGAGGCCCCTGGTGACCTCCGCTGGCTGAGGGCTGCGTGAAGATGGAGGTGGAGGAGTTACCCCCAGCTTTGATCAGCACCGTCTTAGCCAGCTCAAAGTAGAAATGGGCCGCCGCTTCCGACGGCTGGTTGGGTACATGGGGGGCGTGGCACTCCAGACGGCGGCCCTTATACCTGAACGCAGGGGAACCAACAGAGACGTATTATTTTTTTTTTTCAAACTTCAGGTTACTTCAGATTACAGCAAGAAGGTGAAAAACCACTGATATTTAATGATCCCTATTTACCTGCTTGTGTCGGTGCTTTTGGCTCTGGCCCCGCCACCGCCGGCCCTACGGGACCCGCTGGAGGAGGAGGAGCCCAGCGAATCGGACGATGAACTGCTGATGCTGTCGCTGTCTTGGCCCCGCCCCCAAGAGGCTGCTGCCCAGCTGCCGCGGAGGGGCCTTCGACTGAGAGTGGGGGAGCTGTCCGAAGTGGTCTCCGGAGCGCTGCTGTCGATGCTCGCCATGCCTGCTCAGACACACGTATTACAGCAAGCGGTTACCTTTGACCTTTACATCCAGGCCTGGGCCTGTGGGACCAAAATCTTTTTTCTATATCCATTTTTTCCCCCATATTTTCAGATTTATGAGGGAGACAGTTCGGTGGAACAACATTCCTATTGGTCTGATTCCTATTGGTGGAGGGGGAAATATGGAAAACCAGATCTGAAAATAATGCAATTCCTTAAAACTCTAAAAAAAACAAAAAAAACAACAAAAAACAACAACAACAGACATTTGGAATAAACAAAGATTTTTATAGCAAACTAAAAATTATCTTTTGCATATAAATTGTAAATGTTTTAAATAAAGGGATGGTGAAGCAATTTCTTTTCTTTACTGCCTGAAGTCAATGACTGCGTTTAGATATGTGTAATGACTAATGAATTATTACCTCCAATAATAATCAGATTACCTTTTATTAGTTAGTTTGAACTTTCCATGTTTACCAATTGAGCTGTACTGCCTCAATTAGGAAAAAGTTAACCCTTTCCATTCGGTTTAATAAGACTGGTGCTGGTTATCATAGGGTGCATAACAGTAGATCCTGCAAACATAAACCAACCCAGTTGGTAAAGAATTGTTAAGTAGCTTTCTAAGCTGCGCTGAAAGGTGCTTTCTGTCACTGTAAATGCTAGCTGTACAGATTTCACTTCTCTGCAGATGACATGGTAAAAAGCCGTGTGGTGAGTTTTTTGGGTTTTTTTTGACACACTTTTACTAAATGTGCTGCAATATAAGTTTGAGGCAGTGATGCGCTGCGGTTCAGTGTTTGTTTGAGTGAAATACACCCATTTCACAGTTAAATGGCAGTCATTCCTTCACACCATCCATTTAAACGGGTAGGCAACTTTTAGATCCATCCTCGGTCCAACACACCTGAATAAAATGGGTGAGTTACCTCCTCAGGAGGCAGTCAGTTCCTCCAGAGTCCTCTCAATCATCTAATTACTTGATGCAGGTGTGTTAAATCTAAAGGTTGCATGATATCGGCCCTCAGAAACTGGACCTTCCCATCCCTGCTTTAAATGTTACTTTTAGGAACATTTTCTCTGCTTTCCATAATATTGAAACAAATTTCTCTGCATAAAAACTAAAAGGTTGTTTTATTGAAACTGTTGTTGATCCTGAAGTGTATGAAGAGGGATGGATTGAGTGGTCATACCGGTGTGCTTCTTCTTTTGGCGGACAGGTGAGCCCCAGCAGCGTTGGCTGTATCCGCAGCGCCCCCCTAGTGCCAGTCGACTGGGAACAGTGGCCTCTAGCTTAAAGGCTGCCGTCTCATTCTGATGCTCACTTGATAACTGGCCTCCATCTGCAGCTACAAGACAAACAGATTTTTTTTAACGGTGGTCCAAACTTCTAAACAGTTTGAGGAAAAACTTAATGAGATCCATCATGTTATCCTGGTGACATGGCGGCAGTTTTCACCATGCTCCTTGGTCTCCGCGGTGCTCTCGCCGGCAGTGCTGTTCTGCAGCAGGCTAAGCTCCACCTGTGTCGGCTGTGACTCCTCCCCGGCCAGAGCCACAGTGGAAGAAGAGCTGGAAGATGACGCGGCCACGGTGTTTGATGAGGATGACGATAGGGCGTGTTTGTTGGCGCCACCGGCAGCCCCTCCCATCCCACCGTGGTTCCCGGCGGTATGTTTGGACGGGCTCCGCTGACTGGCCGTAGCTGGCTTGCTAGAGTAGAATGAGCTCAGAGTCTGAGGTTTGTGGGTCTGGCTTTCCCTGTCCAACAATTTATCCAGGATCTGAGGAAGTGTGAGAGAGAACATCCAGCAGGGTGTTACGCTAATGTGATCCTCAAGGTACCTTCACACCCAGCAAGAAAATCTGTCAGCCTGGTCTGCCGGCGTGGGTCCCTTGACATTTTAGCTACATGTAAATATCTATGGCAATCTGTTCAACATTTAATCACTTTTAACTACAGTGGAATCCGCTTATAGTGATCCCGTTGGTCCAGAGCCAATTTGACCACTATAAGCGATACCATGATAACTTACCGTTATTTCATTTATTTTTTATGCAGAATACCATCTAAATGCCATTTGTATGGTTTTTCAATGAGAAAAAGGAAACAAAACGGATAGCTTCTGCATTTACTGGATTTTATTAAAGTACCATGCATGTTTAATTACAGTACTGCTCTTTGCATTTAGTTCCTATGCTCCACTTATCTGGAAAAAACTTCCAGAAAACTGTAAAAGTGCGGAAAGCCTGAGTTCCTTTAAATCAAGACTAAAAACACATTTGTTTAGGATTGTCTTCGACTGTTCTGGTTAAACAGTTCATCATTAAAACATAATTGGTTCAACTTTTATATTTTCTTTAGCCCAACTATTTTTAATTCTTTCTTGTTTCTGAATTTTTCCTTATTTATTTTTTTTCCTACTTGCTTTGATTCTGTTTTATCTTCCTATATTTTAATCATGTAAAGCACTTTGCATTGTCTTTCTACTGAATTGTGCTGTACAAATAAATTTGCCTTGCCCCGCCTTGCCTTTGCGCAGACATAACTCTGGTAGCCTTGTGCCACTGGTGCATTTTTTTTAACAAGTCTGACGTGTGAAACAAACTCTTTCATAGAACAACAACATAGAAGATAACTGCATAGGCTCCAGAAAATTAAAGCTAGCCTACCTCTGCTCCGCCGCATTAAGAAATCATATTTATCCATGGTTTTCTGGATCAGAGTGTTGTCCAACACCGAGTTCACTTCTTTTTTTAAACGACGTAAAAGGTCAAAGATTTTGAAACCAACATGCAGGAGACCAGTCTTTAAAATGCAAACTGCATTCCTCATCTCAGCTCTCTTCATCATCCTCATTTTCCTCCTTGCTGCGAGCAGCACTGGTACCCGCACTCTTGTACCTCCGCGATGATGTCCTCATCCGTCACGGCTCTGACACCAGAGTGCTATCATAACATTTGATCCACTTATTCATTATTTTTGCACACATTTACATACATAAAATGGCCAAAAATGAACACTACAAGTAGATTTCTTGATTACTATGAACAAAGTATTTCAACATAATTTGTATAGACATGATTCTGTCCCAAGCCTTTTGAACACTATAAGCGGTTGATTACTATATCCGTGACCACTATAAGCGGATTCCACTGTATATGGACTGAAAACCATAGAAACCTGTTATGTCAAATTTGCACCTCCAGATATACGTCACTCAGTTCACTCATTTGTATCAACCCTAAAGATATTCTGTGCATCTTATAATGGCTTGCCATACACAAATACAAAAAATTTCTGTATCTAAATAAGCCATTTTTTTATTAAAATAAGTGCAGTTTACCTGAAATTCAAGAGCTAAGAGAGACACTCTGACCATGGAACAAGACAATTTACATTTAAAATAAGAAAAAACTATTTGCATGGTCTTATATGCATATATAATAAATGCATATATAATTATCTTATTTCAAGAGTAAAAATACTCATTGTATTGGCAAATTACCTTATTTACGAGCTCAAACTGCTAGAAAAGCCCTTTAACAGTTTACTAAATCAGAAGCTAACTTCAGCTTCATACAGTGGATCACCAGCCCAGGCATACTAGTCTCCTGCTGGGGTTCAATATCTATAAACCAGGGAGGTTTTAGGGCAGGAAAAGCAGAAGAAATGAAAGACAAAGAAAGCCAGCTGGTGGAATCTGAGGATACGAGAAATTGTTTTCCTACCATTTAATGGCTGTTAGTAAATGATCACTTCTGTATTTTAGAGGGAAAAATGCAAACCAACATGGCGCCGCCCGTAACATTAAGGATATTTTTTTATCATTGTGATATTTTGTTGTTTGTGGAGAGCCAGGCGAAGAGGGCAGCCTTTGGTTAATTTACTTGACAGAGTCGGCTTTTGGGAAGTGGATACGAAAAACAATAGTCTAATAATCAGGGCTTAAGGGCTGGTTAAACTCCCCCACAGCAGTGTGAGCTTGTTGCAGAGATTTTTGATTTATGCCCAATATTGAAGCGCGGTCTGCACTATGTTATTCCACACCACAACGCAAGAGGGACAATCAGGAACTAGCTGTGGGTCTAGATACGGCTGAGGAAGTGGGGGCAAGTTTGTGCCACAACGGAGGGACATGAGGGCGACAGAGAGCTGGGATCCAGGTGGAAAACGTTCTTGCGCACCTCCCTCTTCTAGCTGGTCCAACTTTTACGAGTCGTTTTGCGCAATGGCGGTCATACAAGCCGGTAAGGTAGCCATTAGGAAATGTGGATAGTGTTGGGCAGTAGAATTGACCAATCAGAGGCCTCCTGTCTGCGGCACTGTCTGCGGTCACCTACAATCTGGGAGAGGTGCAACAGAGTGTCTGCAGAAGGGGCAGGGTCACATTTGCGTCCACTGCGTCACACACGCAGACGACCTGGTTTCTGAGTATAAATCAGCCTTTATAGACGCAGGAAACAACGACAGACGTTGAGGTTCATCACACTGCTAAGCAGAATCATCACTGGAAATTGTGTGGCACGGTAGGGAAGCTAGTATTTTTATGAGTGTCTAAGATTTCATGATTACAGAGGCAGACTGTAAGGAGATGACACGGTCTGCTCATGCACTCTTTGTTTATGAGAACCGAGCCAGAACTGAGCAGTGCTGAGCCCTACTGATAAACTAGTACCATGTTTAGTTGTCTCTGGCACAGTCTGGTTCAGTTGTGCGTGCCATTTACACTCAGCAGTTATCGGGGTTACCGTGCTCAGAACGATCTTAGCACGGTTTCAAAAGGGTAATGAAAATGGGGCATATGATCTATTACCAGGACTTCGTTCGAATTTTTTCTTCTGCTTGTACGGAAAAAAACCTTTTTTTCCAGAAGAAACTAAACCCTAATTTCCACCAGTTTTCTGACTGCATAGAAGAACAGATGAGACCAGAGTCATCAGGCTGTGCTACTGGTGCCTATAGCTTGGAAGGCCATCTGTGTTGGTGCCTGATGTGACCATTTACCTTCTTGAGTTTGCTCTGGTCGTCTTTGTAGGTGATCATCAGAGCTAAAGCCAGGTCCCCTTTAACCCGACGGGTTCCCTCACAGAGCAGAGGATGCTCTGCCTCACTGACGGTCGTCTTCATGCCTGCAGAAACAAAGGCAGAGGGAGAGTGGAGATGTTTAGGAGGCTGAAGCCGAGGAATCCCGAGTCAAATGTGAAACCCTGGGAATTAAGGACTAACCGAGCGCAGCTACAGCCGCCTCAAAGCCCAGCTCCTCGTCTCCAGGCATCTCGTTGTTCCGGTTTCGACTGGGCGGACGGGAACCAGTGGGAGACACAACTGGAGAAACATCCCGGAGAAAAGAGGAATCAATAAGGATGATAGTGTTGATGAAAACTCTCCTGTACAGTTTTTGTTTCCACAGAATCAAACATCCACACTTCAGAAAACAAAAGTTAAAAATAAAAACATCATGATTTATGGCTACAGCACTGCACAGAAAAATGGTTCAATGCCAGCATTTGAACCTTTGCACGTTTTGTCAGATTTTTATAGAAATTGCAGCTGATGGGAAATAAACAATCTAATAAGGAGAAAGAATCAATAAAATCTTTATATGCAGTTCCTCTGTACTCTCTAGTTCAAAACCTGAGAGGAATGATCTGAACTACTAAACACTAGGGATGCACGATATTGGGATTTTGGCCGATATCCGATATGCCGATATTTTAAAACTCATGTAGCCGATAACCGATATCGATACCGATGTTAAAGCTGGACAAAAATAAATAGTCATTGAAAATAGCAGTTTTATTATCCATTTCTGACAAATTTGAAAAATAATATACCGGTACTCAAATATATTTTCATATGCTGATATCAAATTGATTTTTAAAACCGCGGTATTGATCTATTTTAATTTCAAAATCTCGTGAAATTTCATCGTTGTGTTACAAACTCGCGTGATATTTTGCAAATTCTTGTGAGATTTTGTTAGTAAAATAGATCGATACCGCGTCAATATATCAACAAATAAAAATATGGCGAAATTTCGTGAATTTTCGGGGGATTTCGTAGAATAACGATGGCATATAGCAATATTTCATTAGTAAAAGAGATTGATATGGTGTTTTTAAATGGCGATATATCAGCATATGAAGATATTGTGATATTTTAATGTATCAATATTTTTTCCCTCGTCTTTAGAAGTTTTTATTTGATAGCAGATTATCAGGCTTTGCTGAGCTGCAATCATCTGAATCAGGTTGCTGAACCTCAGAAACATCCAAAACATGCAGCAGGGTGCCTTGAGGGCCAGGATTGAAAAACACTGATGTAGAGAAAAGCCTGGATGTAGAGAACAGTCTGAATTATATAGGGTCTTAAAGCACCTTTTAGGACAGCCAATAACAGCCTTTCTTACTGGGGAGTTGGCAACACTGGTGAAGGGGTGATAGGAGCTGAGAAGGGAAGGTATTGAAGAAAAATTTAAAATTTTGACCAAAAAAAACTTGTTTAAATATATTTAAAAAAAAACATATAATTAAATTGAAATGGGTCTTCGAGTTCACAAAGTTCTTGTTCTCTGCACATCCCATACTGCTGAGTTCTTTCTATATTGTGGCATTTTGAAACACTTTGTCAAGAAGAGCCAGCATCACTGCAGCCATGCAAAATTCTGCAGGCAACTATTAGGACAGCCTAGTGACAGAGCACTAGGGGGAGGTTTCATAATTGGGATATTAAAAAAATATATAGTTTTGACTAGTTCAAATTAACTGAAATATCTTGATTATAATTCTGGATGTGTGACACTTTAAATGACAAAACAGAAGACGTCATTTGAGCTATCTCAAAATGTGATTAAAGATATCTTGAATTGTTGTTTTTCCCTGGACATAATAAAAAAAATAATAATAATTTGCCTAAGGCCCCAAATTTCCTAAATCCGCCCCTGCTTTGATGCTCTCCTCCGGGTTGTGCCCAGAATTACCTCTCGAGTTGCGGAAGCGCAAATCGCCCTGAACTCAAGCCCATTGTTGAGAAAAAGGATTGAAATATGAAGAAAAAAAAGGGACATTTTAAACATATTCTTAATGTTTTCATATTTCCATTTCATACATTAATTCGAATTAATAGGATTTTACTTATGGAGACACGTTTCAGTCGATGTGCTACAGTTAGTGTGAGATGAATAAAGTCTCTGCTCAGTGGATGCCAATTCCCGATTTTGCTATCAACACCATTCTAGATCAGAAATGATCTAGTGACAGAGTGACAGACAGAGTGACAGACATTCTGACAGAGTGACAGACATTCTAGATCAGAAATGATCTAGAAACACTTTATTTGTTAAATTTAGAACCTGGAACCTGCCGAAGATTCCCTCCCCTCCTTATTTTCACATTTATTGTCCCAGACTTATTAAATTCATACCACAATAACAGAGAACAGGTATGATTATGTGGAGAAACTTGCATAATTGTAAACTCATTATTTCTCTAAGCAGGGGAGGGAGTTCTCGGCAACTTAGAACCTGGAACCTGCGGGAGATTGCCTCCCCTCCTTATTTTCACATTCCCTCAAATATCGCTGTTTTTGCTGCTTGGCCGGGATGCTGTTCAGAACTGCGCAGGCTGTGCGCTACTCGTAAGCACACTGCCTGCCAAATGTTGAAAGGGCAATATTATTGCCATTACTATTAATATATAATTGAAATGTACACATTCAGTGATACAATGTCACAGGGGATGGTATGGAGGGATGGTCATTTAAGAAGGGAGATAATTTTTACGATTTTTGCCATCCCCCTTCATTTCGAGTACTTTGTATATTATACACTACTCAAAAGAATTAAAGGAACACTTTGTAATCAGATTATAGCATCGAGTTAATTAAACTTCTGGGATATTGATTTGGTCAGGTAAGTAGCAGAGGGGGTCCTTAATCAGTTTCAGCTGCTTTGGTGTTAATGAAATGAACAACAGGTGCACTAGAGGGGCAACAACGAGACGACCATCAAAACAGGAATGGTTTTACAGGTTGAGGCCACTGACATTTTTTCCCCTCCTCATCTTTTCTGACTCTTTTTCACCAGTTTTGCATTTGGCTAGAGTCACTGTCACTACTGTTAGCATGAGGCGCTACCTGGACCCTACAGAGGTTGCACAGGCAGTCCAACTCCTCCAGGATGGCACATCAATACGTGCCATTGCCAGAAGGTTTACTTCTTACGCGTGATTTCAAAAAGCCGCATGATTTTCCGCCAGATGGCGTGATTTTTGTCCGGTGCGAATCAGACACGTTTTTTTTGACTTGGCAGGCTAAAAAACAACAACAAGGCTATTTTATATATATTTTTCCAAGCACACAACAGTTTAAAGCAAAGTTTAGTTTGAAAAGAATGTGCCGGAAGGATTGAAAGGCATGTTAACACGGTAATGTAGGCTTGAGTTCATTATCTGACGCTGCATATACACACCAGGAACCTGGAAACTTAAAAAATACTGAATTACAAAATACATTGAAAAACAAATATGTTTCATTGATATATATACAAAAATGAATATTAGGAACAATATTTATCAAACATTATACTGGGCAACTAAAAATTGTTTCTGGGCAAATGAAATGTGAAAGTCACTTGCCCAAAGGGGAAGTGGTAAAAATCGTTAACGTCATCCCCTGATATATATATATATATATATATATATATATATATATATATATATATATATATATATATATATATACATATATATATGCTGAGGTAATAATCCAGGGAGGTAATTCTCCAGTTATGCCAACCTGGGGTGCAGAGGACATCAAATATGAAACTGGCCAGCATCAGAGGCAGCACAGGTCTGTAGTCACAGAGGTTTCCGTCCCGGAGCTGCTCGGCCCGCTCTCTGATGGCCGACATCTCCACCAGGCCTAGGGGGATCTTCTTCAACAGCGCCACCACCTCCGACTCCTGGTAGGCCAACTTCACCTGCTCAGTCACAAAAAAATGTCCAAATGTTTTACGCTGCAGAGAAATGTTGAAATGTTGTCACTAACTCATTTCTATTGGTATGAGGCTCAGACTACCCAGAAAACTAATGGGTCAAATCTGTTAAACCTGGATAAAAACATTGAAGAAGAAAAAAAATCTAAAAATATTTAAATGAAATTTCACAAATAAAATCTGCAACAAATTGCCATCTGTATAAACCCTGGTTGAACTCTTCCATACATATAAATGACTCTTAAAGCCTTTTTTGTTGAGTTTTTTCTAACATATATTTTTAAACATTTTCTTCCTTTTCAACAACATCGTTTGAGGGACTGTTCAATCCATCCATCCATCCATTCATCCATCCATCTTCATCCGCTTATCAGGGGTCGGGTCACGGGGGAATCCCAAGGCGCTCCCAGGTGGCCCTAGAAACATAGTCCCTCCAGCGTGTCATGGACCCTCTTGGTCTCCTCCCAGTGGGACGTGCCTGGAACACCTCACCAGGGAGGCGTCCAGGAGGCATCCTAACCAGATGCCTGAGCCACCTCAACTGGCTCCTCTCAAGGTGGAGGAGCAGCAGCTCTACTCTGAGTCCTCACTGGATGACTGAGCTCCTCACCCTATCTCTAGGGGAAAGCCCAGACACACTACAGAGAAAACCAATTTCTGCCGCTTGTATCCAGGATCTCGTTCTTTCAGTCATGACTAAGGTTGCCAACCATCCCTTGAATAACTGAATCGTCCCATATCTAAAAATTTAAGCATCTGTCCCGTATTTAGTGGAAAAGGAACACACTTTTTACCATATTAACTGTGAGAGTAAAAAAATGGTCAGTAAAACGCTAATGGAAAATGAAGAACAATGGTACGTTGGATACAAAACTTACAGTAAACTTGTTCCCAGGCCCTGTCCTGGGTTGTAACCAATGAGCTGACAACATACCGTATTTTCACGACTATAAGGCGCACTTAAACGTCTTTTTTTTCCCTCAAAATGTGCGGTGCGCCCTATGGTGCGGTGCGCCTTATGTGTGTTGTAACTGCGACTTTTGAGACCACCTCATTGAGGAGATGATGAAAGAGTGGCTGAATGTAAGGAGACCAGGTGTTTTTTTTCCACCCCTCACCATCGCTGTTAATATGTAACTCCATGCGTGCCCATCTCACAGCTGATGTGAAAAACATGGGGAAACAAATTAACGCTGCTCGACATCGGTGTGAACCGGACGCAGCAGGTGCAGCAGAAGCACCGAGTTTACATGCAAAGTCAATGGTTGACGCGCATATAGGTGCAGCAAAAGGTCCCGCAGCGCATTTTGGTGCAGCACGTCGGGAGCGTTTAAGCATCTGAAGCGCCGCGCTTCTGCTGCTCGAGATGGAAAAATTGAAGTTTTGCTGCTGGACGCGCCGCATCAACCAATCAGAGAAGCTGATCTGGGAGCTGCCAGCGAGACAGACAGCGCTCTGATGACATATGATATTAACGCAAATGGAAAAGGCTGGATGGATGCGTGGCTGAGGCAGGTGTATGTGAGAAGACTAGGTGGTTTTTTCCACGCATCACCATCGCTGCGTGCCCATCTCACAGCCGATGTGAAAAAAAGGTGAATCAAATGAACGCTGTGCTCGCCGTTATCCCGGGGGTCTGACAAAGGAGCTTCAACCGCTCGACATCGGTGTGAAGCAGCCGTTCGAAGTAAGGCTGCGAGCGGCGTGGGAGCGATGGATGACAGACTGAGACCACAGTTTCAGGATAAGAAGGCAGCGCCGGGCAGATTACGCCACCGTTTGCGGATGGATTGTAGATGGACTGTGTCTGCTGGCTCTGTTGTTCAAGCTTTCGCAAAAGCCGGCATTATTTCTGAGGAGCTGCGCTGCACGGAAAGTGACTGACAGCGAAGAAGGGGAAACTGGCATGTCTGATTTAGCGCAGCTGTTTTATTCAGAAACAGAGGATGATGACTTTGATGGGTTTGATTAATACTTTGTAATAAATACATGAATAAAGCACAATCATACTCAGTTTTGCTCCCGCTGTATTTTTCTCCCTGAAAACTTAATTCAACAGCAGCCCCGGCGCGTCTCCTCCTCTTCATCGCGGTGGCTGGCAGGTGTTTTTTCATCTAAATAATCTAAATCTTGCAGCTATATTTGCTGTGATCAGTGGGAATAAAGTAGTTTTAATATGTTTTTAAGTGAGAAAGTCCACCTGAAAACTTAATAATTGCAGTCAGTTCATCCAGATTATCTATTTCTGTCGGAGGCGCTCAGACCCCCACATACCAGCGGTGCGCCGACAGGAGAAATCCTTTCGTTCACCGCGGCTGCTTGCAGGTGTTTTTCATCTAAATAATCTAAATCTTGCAGCTATATTTGCTGTGATCAGTGGGAATAAAGTAGTTTTAATATGTTTTTAAGTGAGAAAGTCCACCTGAAAACTTAATAATTGCAGTCAGTTCATCCAGATTATCTATTTCTGTCGGAGGCGCTCAGACCCCCACATACCAGCGGTGCGCCGACAGGAGAAATCCTTTCGTTCACCGCGGCTGCTTGCAGGTGTTTTTCATCTAAATAATCTAAATCTTGCAGCTATATTTGCTGTGATCAGTGGGAATAAAGTAGTTTTAATATGTTTTTAAGTGAGAAAGTCCACCTGAAAACTTAATAATTGCAGTCAGTTCATCCAGATTATCTATTTCTGTCGGAGGCGCTCAGACCCCCACATACCAGCGGTGCGCTGACAGCAGAAATCTCTTCATCAGCAGCCTGTAGGCTGGGCAGCCTGGGGTTCACCGCGGCTGCTGGCAGGTGTTTTTCATCTAAATAATTTTAGCTGCAGGCACCAGGATACCGGCAATAAAAGCGAACATATTTCGTCAGCAGGTTTCAGGATTTTAAGTTAATTTAGGAGTGACCACAGCGCTGTGTCATCTGCGATGTCTCTGTCTCACGGCCAGCTGCCAGGTTTGATTAATACTTTGTAATAAATACATGAATAAAGCACAGTCATACTCAGTTTTGCCCCCGCTGTATTTTTAAATACGCAGTAGAGGTATTTAAAGGTAGTAGAGGACATGTACCTGTATATACAAAACGCGCCCTATAGTCCGGTGCGCCTTATGTGTGTGTTAAATACAGAAATGGGACACATAACTGAGACTGCGTCTTTTAGTACGGTGCGCCTTATGGTCGTGAAAATACGGTATATGTAAAGATCCAGAATACAGTCATTCTCATAATAATTGGTACAGTACATCCTCCCCAACCCGGAGAAGGCACTCTACCCTTTTCCAGCTCAAGAGCATGGTCTCGGATATGGAGGCACTGATCAATCCTCATCCCGGCCGCTTCACACTCGGCTGCAAACCGCTCTAGTGAGAGCTGTAGATCATGCCCTGATGAAGCCAATAGAACCACATCATCTGCGAATAACAGAGACGCGATCCACCAAAACAGATCCCATCAACACCTTGGCTGCGCCTAGAAATTCTGTTCCTCACTGGAAACGAGTCTGACTTACTGCCGGCGATGCGGACCAGGCTCTGACACCCATCATACAGAGACCTAACAGCTCCATACTCCTGGAGTATCCCCCACAGGACCCCCCGAGGGACTCGGTCGGATGCCTTCTCCACATCCACAAAGCACATGTAGACTGGTTGGGCAAACTCCCATGCACCCTCCAGAATCCTGCTGAGGATGTAGAGTTGATCCAGTGTTCCACGGCCAGGACAAAAACCACACTGCTCCTCCTGAATCCAAGATTTGACTATCTGACGGACCCTCCTTTCCAGCACCCCGGAAGAGACCGTACCAGGGAGGCTTAAGATTGTGAATCCTCTGCATTTGGAACACACCCAACGGTCCCCATTTTTAAATAGAGGGACAACCACCCTAGTCTACCAATCCAGGGATCGTCCTCCTATGTCCACTAAGGGTGTGCAAAATAATCGTCAAATCGATGAATCGTGATTCTAATTTTTGTGATCTACTGAATCGATTCTTGAAGGCAAGAATCGATTATTAAAAAAAAAAAATGAACAAATAAAATACATTAATGGTTGGCGCACATCAATCAAACCAAGTGGAATACAACTTCCAGTCCAGCAGAAGTCGCTGCGGATGTGTTGACGCCTGCTGCTTTGTGTCATAAGCATGTCCGGACTGATTATCCTCATTTTGTTATTTTAAGTTTGATGAATCCTAAGATCTTTTTGTTGGTGTGTCCATGCCAGTAATAGTAATATTTCTGTCCAGTATTTGTTTTCATGGCAACACCTCCAAAAGTAATTTCAATAAATACAGCTATGTATGAATTCAGTTGCTTTCAGTTATGTATCAGTTGAAGACACTATCCAGATCACACCCAGCCAGTCAGCCACTGGTAAGGGCTGTATCTTTTTCTTACAGTGTTCAGTGAAAATATCACAATGCATCGCAATATTTCAAGTATCGTGATGCATCGTGATAGAATCGCATCGTGGCATGTGAATCGTGATTCGAATCGAATCGTGACTTCTTTGCCAATACCCACCCCTAATGTCCACGCTATGTTGGAGAGTCAACTTAATTAACAAAGCCCAACAACATCCAGACATCCACATCTAGATACGTCAAAATAATGCCAGCATGCTCTGAAAATCTGAATGGGAGCCAGCTGATAGAAAATGAGTCGCCTCTCAGGCTGCATGGAGACAAGTGCATGGGTTGGACTTTGGGGCACCGACCTCCAGGGCTTTAGTGGACGCAGGCGGCCTCTGTAGCTCCAGGGAGAACATCCCAGTGCTGAAGGCCAGATTGTGGAGCTCCAGCCTCTCGCTGAGAACAGTGAGCAGGAAGGCAGCTTTGGACAGCGTGTTGGTGGCCACCTGAGTCTGACGGCTGGTCGACACCTTGCTTTTCTTCCCCTGCCGCCAAAGAAAAAAAAAACACGTTAGACAATGAAGAAGCAGCATCCTGTGCACTGATACGGGGAAACTTTGTGATAACTACCTTAGTTTGAGGTTGCTCCACCTTAAGGTCAGGAGGGTTCTCCAACAGGTCTCTGGCGAGCTCCACAGCCAGCTGACAGGCCTCGTTGCTATAGCCATGAGCATAGAGCGCTTCGGCACAGGCAAACAGCACCTAGAGAACAAACGCACAACG